ATATTAGGCGTGTAGGAACTGGTTCTCTCTTAGTGAATAATAAAATGATTCATTCTTCTGCCTGCCGTCTTGTTGATTTACTATGATTCTTTAACTGTTCATTTTTATGGTGTATGACTTATGAAACACCTTGTGGCTGCACTGTCTAGGTACACTATATACCTGCACTGTCTAGGTACACATCTTAAAACTTAACTGTCGAAAACCTGGCTTAAATATGGAAGCCAAATAATTACGAAATAAAAATTATTTGTTGGCAACTAATATACTGCAAAATGCACCGGATTGTTCTATCTTATATATAAACACTAAATCGCACTATAGACACATGGATTGCACAAGATAAGATGGGTTTACAAGTGCATAAAATTATATACCCTAAGCACAATACATTCACACTGCACCTATTTCAGATACTGTCTGATTTCCTGCCATTAACTCTTCACAAATATGCTTGGTTAATTGACAGATATTAGGCACGTGTACTGGACTACTGGTATACTCTCTTAGTGAATAATAAAATGATTCATTCTTCTGCCTGCCTAATACACTTTGTTGATTTACTATGATTCTTATAACTGTTCATTATTTCATGGTGTATGACTTATGAAACACCTTGTGGTGTAGGAACTGGCACTGTCTGCCGTCTTGTTGATTTACTATGGTACACTATGGCTGCACCTGCACTGTCTAGGTACACTATATACACCTTCACTGTCTAGATACACTATACCTGCACTGTCTAGGTACACTATACCTGCACTGTCTAGGTACACTATATACCTTCACTGTCTAGATACACTATACCTGCACTGTCTAGGTACACTATACCTGCACTGTCTAGGTACACTATATACCTGCACTGTCTAGGTACACTAATACTATATACCTCTCCAGTTCCATATACACTAGTACCTGCACTATCTAGGTAATAATTATATACCTTCACTGTCTAGATATAAATTATACCTGCAATTGTTCAGGTACCATACTTTACCGTCTAGATATTAATTATACCAGCACTGGGGTCTAGTGCACTTATATACCTCTTCACTGTCTAGATACACTATGCCTGCACTGTCTAGGCACACTATACCTGCACTGGGTCTAGGCACACCATACCTGCACTGCCCAGGTACACTATATACCTCACTGTCTAGACACACTATACCTGCACTGTCCAGGCACACCAGGCCTTCACCGGGTCTAGACACACTATACCTGCACCAGGGTAATAATTATATACCTTCACTGTCTAGATAATAATTATACCTGCTCTGTCTAGGCAATACCTTATATACCTTCACTGTCTAGATACACTATACCTGCACCGTCTAGTACACTATACCCGCAATTGTCTAGAGATACACTATATAACCTTCACTGTCTAGAGATACACTATACTCTGCAATTGCTCCAGGCACTATACCCGCACTGTCTAGTGCACACTATACCTGCACTGTCTAGATACACTATATACCTTCACTGTCTAAAACACACTATGCACTCCAAGTAATCAGTCTAGGTAATACTGGTATACCTTCACTGTCTAGATAATAATTATACCTGCACTGTCTAGGTACACTATATACCTTCACTGTCTAGCTACACTATACCTGCACTGTCTAGATACACTATATACCTTCACTGTCTAGATACACTATACCTGCAGTCTAGGTACACTATATACCTTCAGTCTAGATACACTATATACCTTCACTGTCTAGGTACACTATACCTGCACTGTCTAGGTACACTATATACCTTCACTGTCTAGATACACTATATACCTTCACTGTCTAGATACACTATACCTGCACTGTCTAGGTACACTATATACCTGCACTGTCTAGATACACTATACCTGCACTGTTCAGGTACACTATAGCACTGTCTAGGTACACCTTATACCTGCACCGTCTAGATACACCCTTTTCATATGGCCTTCACTGTCTAAATACACTATACCTGCACTGTCTAGGTACACTATATACCTTCAATTGCTCCAGATACACTATACCTGTATCTCGTCTAGGTACACCATACCTGCACTGTCTAGATACAATTATACCTGCAACTGTCTAGGTACACTATGGCACCTTCACTGTCTAGATAGCTACCCTACCTGCAATCTGCCCAGGTACACACCATATACCTCTCAGTCTAGATACACTATACCCGCACCGTGTTCAGGTACACTATATACCTTCTACCGTCTAGATACACTATACCCGCACTGTTCAGGTACACCATATACCCTCTCACTGTCTAGACACTATACCAGCACTGCCCAGGTACACTATATATACCTTCACTGTCTAGATACACTATGCCTAAACTGCCCAGGCACACTATACCTGCACTGTCTAGTACACTATACCTGCACTGTCTAGGTACAGGTATACCTTCACTGTCTAGATACACTATACCTGCACTGTCTAGGTACACTATACACCTTCACTGTTCAGATACACTATACCTGCACTGTCTAGGCACACTATATACCTTCACTGTCTAGATACACCATACCTGCACTGTCTAGGTACACTATATACCTTCTCACTGTCTAGATACACTCATACCTGCACCGTCTAGGTACACTATACCTGCACCGTCTAGATACACTATATACCTTCACCGTCTAGATACACTATACCTGCACTGTTCAGGCACACTATACCTGCACTGTCTAGGTACACCATACCTGCACTGCCCAGGATACACTATATACCTTCACTGTCTAGATACACTATACCTGCACTGTCTAGGTACACTATATACCTTCACTGTCTAGATACACTATACCTGCACTGTCTAGGTACACTATACCTGCACTGTCTAGATACACTATACCTGCACTGTCTAGGTACACTATATACCTTCACTGTCTAGATACACTATACCTGCACTGTCTAGGTACACTATACCTGCACTGTCTAGGTACACTATACCTGCACTGTCTAGATACACTATATACCTTCACTGTCTAGATACACTATACCTGCACTGTCTAGGTAACAACTCTCGCTCTCGTCCAGACCTCCTCCTCTCAAAAGACTTCTCAACTTCTTTAATGGCTATGGAAAGAAAACTTCATGTTACTCTCAAGTTTCTCCACCACCTTCTTTCCCCCTCCCCCCATGCCAACGCTCCACAGCTTAAATGCTTCTCACCTGTTACGTCATTCTTAACAACACTGGTTTATCTCCTCGAGCTTCCTTCTCTTCACCCCAGACCACGGCAAAAGACCAGTAGTTGGTCATGTACTTTACGACTTTGTGGATGACCTGAAAATAAGTCTCTCAGGTGCTTATCAATTTTGTTTAACCTAACCCAACCTGATTGAACCTGACCTAATCAAACCTAACCTAACCTACCTTAAAACCTAATGCTAATTTAACTTAACCTGACAATCTAATCTAACCTAAATCTACTCTTAACATAATTAACATAACACTAACTGATTTAACTTAACCTGACCTAATCTCCACAAGGTATAATTAGCCAGGGTAGCTAATTTTCAGGATACCCTAGTTAAGTCTGGTGTAATGGTGGCCTACTGTTAACAGCCACAACAAACGACTGGGTTTACAACTTGTACTCAATGTAATAAGTACAATCCCCTTCACCAGTGCAGTTACAGGTATTTCCGAGCGTTAATCTTCCACATCAGCTCCGGACCTCCCAGGGGCTTGTCATCGAGATACCGTAAACCCTTGATATATAGAATTGGGAAAATCTCGGCATATCTGGCCACCAGCATCACCTACCATACCTCTGTGTAACCTACCATACCTGTGTCACCTACCATACCTGTCACCTACCATACCTGTGCCACCTACCATACCTGTGTCACCAACTACAATGATTCGATCTTCACCTACAGTGCTGGTATGAGTTATTTTTTTTACATTTATTAATTACACGTACAATCGAAGAAGACAAAAGTCGCGTCACGGTTTTGTCCAAAGATTAAATATAACCCGTGAAACATTATGAGAGCCCCCTACCACAAGGCAGAGCGCACCAACAGTGTAGATCTTTGGCATGTTTTCACGACACGACTTTTGTCTTTCATTGTACACACATTTGGGTTGATAATTTTCTATTGTCATTTTTGTAAGGGGGGAGGGGGTGGTGGGGGAAGTGCCTCGATAAGTCTGAATTTGGGATAACTAGGCAAGGCCAGAGCCCCATATGTGCCTAGTTAATATTGTTTTAATTTGATTCCATATTAGGTTTACTATTGCTAGCTTCCTTCTGTCTAATGTAAACACACAGACAGGGCTCCCACACTGCACAACACCTGATGAGCCCCTATAAATGCACTAGTGAAGGGGACTATACACTAAACCCTTGTACTAAATATAATGAAAATGCTTCATGGCAGAGTGACCTGGTAAATGTATCTTTCATAATAAGTGATTTGGCAACTCTTTAATGACCCAAGTGACCTGGTAATTCAGTATAACACCGTACAGCCACTCAGATGATCAAAGTCAATCACCTTATATCTCACACCAGTATGAGTACGACCAATCAACCGTGGTGGCTGAAATAACCCACAATAAACACAAATGATTCCTTAAGACTTGTCAGTACTCTACAGGTTCAGTACTCTATAGGTTCAGTACTCTACAGGTCCAGTACTGTACAGGTCCAGTACTGTACAGGTCCAGTACTCTATAGGTCCAGTACTCTACAGGTCCAGTACTCTATAGGTTCAGTACTGTACAGGTCCAGTACTCTATAGGTCCAGTACTCTACAGGTCCAGTACTCTACAGGTCCAGTACTCTACAGGTCCAGTACTCTACAGGTCCAGTACTCTACAGGTCCAGTACTCTACAGGTCCAGTACTCTACAGGTCCAGTACTCTATAGGTCCAGTACTCTATAGGTCCAGTACTCTACAGGTCCAGTACTCTACAGGTCCAGTACTCTACAGGTGACTGATGAGTTAAATGCTACAAAATATACTCAGAGGAAATAAAACACAGATATACAAAGTAATTATGACTGTATTTTTACCAGAAGTAACAAAAATGCAGGTATCAGCCACAGGTGGATGGAAAAGGAAGAGAGAGAGAGAGAGAGAGAAAAAGAGACATGAAATAGATAGAAAATAAACGGACAGCCTGACATCGTCGCTTATAACATCAATGGAGCTTCTTGTACCCACGACGCTCGTTCATCGCCGACACACACGCTACAAGGAGCTGCTGCGTCAAGATAACTTTATATTTCTTCATTATTGATTCACCTCCACAAAGTTCTACAACGCCCTAACAAACACATTTTTTTTTTAATAATTTAAAATCGTTAAGAAACCTCACCTGCACGTTAACCCAGGTAGTGTATCGGTGACTAACGAAAGAGGAATGGTGCATTATAATGGTACAACAACCACCCAAGCTGCTTCATTATATATATACTGTATAAGGGATGTCTAGATGATGACACGTGTTGCCCAGTACTGTATTGTGTCTTGGTGAATATATGGAGAAGCTGCCCCACACCCACCCCTTTACTTCATCTTCCAGTGGATAAAAACAATTAAAAAGTAAACTACAACACAAGTACAGAGTTTCTCGTACTGCATTACCGTGACTTAGAAATAGTTCGGTGGACTCGTAAGAATCTCTGGAATACAACACAAGCCGGACACACTACCCGGCTCGCTCCACATCCCCTGTCACACTACCCGGCTCGCTCCACATCCCCCGTCACACTGACACAGGACATTGCCCAAGGTAATAGGCACAATTTTTTTTCTCTTAAATCACACAGAAGAGAAGTTCTGCACATCAAGTATCACAAGAAAGAAGCGTTGCCATTATTTGGAATTGAGCATCTTGCTTCTTCATAGTTCAATAAACAAGCAACAACTCTCATATATTCATACACAAAATAAAATTATAAAATCAAATCTACATTTTTTACACTTTGTCGGTAATTGTTACTCGTGTCCAAATTTACGACTGAACAACACGTTTGCTCGTTCCCCAGCTTGTGTAATGATCCAATCCTACTTCTCCAGCACCGCGGTCCCTACGTTCCGATTGACGCTAAATTAATAAACTGTCGACTATAAAACCACAAAAAAATTTAATACCATCACAATATGTAATTTGGCCACCGTGAGGAAATATAGACTATCGTGAAGATTTTTATACAGATGCCAACATTTATAAAGCATTTCTCTGTGTACGTCATCGCTACGTTCGCCACACCGGAAGTTTCTACGTCTCTTGGCGTCTCTACCGAGGTCTCCGTCGACTAAATATTCTACGTTCGATAGATTCTATTTGTTTCAAGATGTCAATAAAAAAAAATTAATGTCAGACAGCTGTCTTTGTCAGAGCCAATGAAAATTATCTTAAAAAATTTTGTGGATTAATATAAAACTCAACGACCGTCTTTATCGGAGCCAATTAAGTTCCCCCCAAAATTTTACACAGACTCGGACAACGGATACACGTCACTCACACAAGATGTACCGACGGATCTCTCTTCAACGCGGCACAACCGATGGCGTACGGTTCGAGTCAGCGGCTCACCAACCGCTATCTCTCTTTCCGAAACGACTCCGCCGCCCGTCACTTCTGCGTCGCAGTGGGAGAGTCTGTGGCGGTTGGCGGTAGTTATCTGACTGGCCTTCTTCATCTATGCCGTGTGTCATGTCAGCTGAAGAACCGGGAGAAATCCACCAGCGCCCGTGTTATCTCCTTGGTACGTTCTGCCTGAGTCACAGCCTTGTGGAACTCTACCAACTCGTTCCGTGTGATCGCCTCCACACCTCCAGAGTTCTTGGTCGGCAACACCTTTAACTTAGCTTCTAACCATAAGCAAAATTTTGGACGGTCAAATTGCATAATCTGAAAGAGAGAAAAAAAGTGTAAATATCCAATAATTTATAAAACCTTAAAAAAGATGTATAATTTTCAGGTTTGGATTCCATAAACTATAAAAATATTCTAATAGTGGGAAGTAGGCAGCTACCAAATAGGGAGGTACTGGAAAGATATTGGAAGCATAATGTGTTGTCTAATGGTAGACCCTGCTGCCATATGTGACCAAGTTGATGATCTGACTTTCTGCCTCATTTACACACAGGGTCTCAATTGTTTCCCTGACAACACAACACATATGAGGTGTTCTGCGTCAGAAGGGGGTGAAGCGACACCCCGGCCAAGATGAGTTTTTTGATGGATATCACTATTTTCACTCTTCCTCTACATGTTGGATGTAACCCTCTAGCTAGAATAACAATATGGTAGAAAATCCTTCAAAAATAAGGGTGTATATATAAACAGATGATATATGGACACCAGGATAATAAGCCGAGGTGGGGAGGAATTTCTTGCACATTCAAACACTCGTCCAGATCACAGAGTTCATTCTTCAACAAGTGCATCAACAAAGTCACTATGAATATTGGATGTCCTGAAGATTACCCCCTCATGGCTTATTTCACCCGATGATTAGGTTAGGTCAGGTCAGGTCAGGTTAAGTTAGGTTACCTAGGGTTAGATTAGGTATGGTTATATTAAAATAGGTTAGATTAGGTTTGGTTATTTGGGTAAATCGGGTTAGGTTAGGTTAAGTTTAGGTGGATTAGATTAGGATTACATTTGGGCATTAAATCATCAGGTGAAATAAGCTAAAAGTTGTTGGGGATAATCCTGAGGCAACTCGGATCACTTAACTAGAGCAACCGACCTGGAAAAACGTTTCAGCTACGTCATGGTGCATATACTGGGGAAGGATGAACACAGCCGCGGTCACCAGGTTGCCGATCAGACTCTCCCCGTGAGTGTTGAAGATGTTGATGACCAGCGTGTGCCGAGTCTCAAAGTCGGCTCGGTCGTCGTCCTTCCGTCCTGCCTCCACTAGCCCTTGGAAGAACTTGAGTACAGCTGCATTTGCCTCCTAGAAAAATGGAACATCACAAATTGTTTTAGTAAATAGAGATGGAATTTGAAACACCCAAGAACTTGACATTTCTAAGAATTTCTGCAGTTATATCTTTCTCTTAAGGGTTACAAGTATGGAAATCTTGGAAAAATTCAGGCAGTTACATTTATTTGTTAAAAGACATATCAAAATGAACAAACAATTATATGGTGATAAGTGATACGTTCTTTGTACCAGCACTAGAAAACACCCGTTCTTTACAGCCAATATTTTACTAATGATGATAACTTATAATTTCCTTGTACCAGCACTAGAAAACACCCGTTCTTTACAGCCAATATTTTACTAATGATGATAACTTATAATTTCCTTGTACCAGCACTAGAAAACACCTGTTCTTTACAGCCAATATTTTACTAATGATGATAACTTATAATTTCCTTGTACCAGCACTAGAAAACACCCGTTCTTTACAGCCAATATTTTACTAATGATGATAACTTATAATTTCCTTGTACCAGCACTAGAAAACACCCGTTCTTTACAGCCAATATTTTACTAATGATGATAACTTATAATTTCCTTGTACCAGCACTAGAAAACACCCGTTCTTTACAGCCAATATTTTACTAATGATGATAACTTATAATTTCCTTGTACCAGCACTAGAAAACACCCGTTCTTTACAGCCAATAATCGACTGTCAAATAAAAGCCACGCTCAAACAGTGAAGAACAACACACACGCTGCACCCTTACCTTGTGGTCTAACATGCAGGCCTGTAAACCACACTCCAGAATGGTGTTTAAGGCGCTACACTGCAGGAAAGGTACAGGCGCTCGCTGTAGGAACCTGGGGAGTGACGACACCATTAATATGTCGCGCTGCATGACGGAGGGTTTTTTTCATCTTTAAATGGCAGATAAGGATTCACTATTTCACCTTGGCCTAACCTAACCAAATGTATATTTTCTCAACCAAACTCAAACTAGTCTGTCCTATACAAAACCCAAACTAACTCAACCTAATCTGTCCTATCCTAACCCAACCAAACTTAACCTAACCTAACCCAACTTAATCCCAAACTTCATCTTATGTACCACAACTACCTAAAAATTTTGTGTCCAGTTTTGGCAAGGAGCCTCAGAGCCAGTGAGCTTATAAAAGGTTAACTTAGTATCACCTGATGATTAGACACCCTGACAATAACCTAACCTAACCACACAGTTTAGCATTAAGGTGTTTAACCATTTGGTAACTCAAGCTGGGGTAGTTAATGTTCATATGCTGCAAAAATCTTACCTAGCACACAGTCTGAACCTTACCTAGCAGTCTGAATCTTACCTAGCACACAGTCTGAACCTTACCCAGTTAATAATACAGTCTGAACCCACCTAGCACACACAGTCCAACCCACTACACACGTTCCGGAACCCTACCTAGCACACAGTCTGAACCCTACCCAGCACACAGTCTGAACCCACTCTAGCACAGTCTGAACCCTACCTAGCACACAGTCTTTGAACCCTACCTAGCACACAGTCTGAACCCCACGGCACACACAGTCTGAACCTTACCTAGCAGTCTGAATCTTACCTAGCACACAGTCTGAACCTTACCTAGCACACAGTCTGAATCTTACCTAGCACACAGTCTGAATCTTACCTAGCACAGTCTGAATCTTACCTAGCACACAGTCTGAATCTTACCTAGCACACAGTCTGAACCTTACCTAGCACATAAACTTTACCTAGCACACAGTCTGAACCTTACCTAGCACACAGTCTGAACCAGTCATCGACAGTATCCGGATGATCTCTGAAGCCGTTGGGTTGGGTGAGAAGGACAAATGTAGGTTGAGTGAACGCCTCCAGCATGGCCAGCAGTCCCGCCACACAACCCACCTCACTGGCGTACTCATCAACGAGGATACTGCCTAGGTACAGGAAGCAGCTGTGGCCGTGCGCTGCGTACAGACCAACAATCTGCCCCAAGACATGATCTCGTTAATACAGGGAAGTTATACAGTACAGGTGCTCCTCTACTTAACAACGAGCTACGTTCCTGAGGCTCGTTTGTAATTCCAACTTTACTCTCGTAGATACCAAACATATTGTAAAAAATTAAAAGATTATGGATATTTAGTACAGCTATACCCTTTAATACAGCCTTAAAACCTGGCTCACTCTTCTCCTCTTAGGTAATGTTTGTTCTACCTGGAATTGTCTTAAAAATAATTCAGTCTCATCCACATCAAACACCTGTTGTGGCAGGTAACCCCCTCATTGATGATGTTTGTATCTGTGAAAGTTTGTAAGTTGAACGTTCTTAAGTAGAGGAGCACCTGTACATGGTATTACCTGTACATAAGAATACCTGTTTTGTTTGTTTTCTCATCTGTTGATTAAATGACTAAGTTAAGGAAGGTTAGGTCAGGTCAAAGTTTGATTAGGACATGTTAGGTTAAAGTGGGCTATGTTAGATTAGGTTTGGTATGGTTAGGTTAAGGTATGTTACATTGTGTAGTCTCATTAGGTTAAAAATAAATTACCTTTGATTTGGTTAACATTAGTTTGTTTAACCATCTGTTGAAATAAGCCATGGAGGGGAGGGGGGGAGGGTACTACTAATTGTCAAATAATGCGATAATTATTACAAAACAAAACTTAATCCAAAAATTCTAAAAAAAAATTACAAATAAAACCAAAAAAAATCAAGATAAATAATTAAAAGTGATATCCGACCTTCTGAGATTTTCAAACACATCACATTCACCACAACTACGGACCTCAGGATAAACAGACGGGAGTGTTCGGAAATAGCGGAGGTGACCGAGATGATCTGGAGTGATAGGAGGAGGAGGAGGAGGGGAGGCGAGGAGATAGTATGGGGTGACAAATGAAGAGAGAATTCCTACAATGACGGAACGAACGACGACGCACAAACCACCCCCACACACACACCGTCCCCCCCACCACACCGTCACCCCCCCCACACCACACCGTCATCCCCCCATTACCTGTTCAACGAGGGGCGAGAGGAGAGGCGCCGACTGCTGGTGCACACAACGCACGGCAAACCTCAGGCACCTACAGCAGTGTTCCATTACCCGTAAGTCTGAACTGTATCTCTGGAACGTCAGTGAGAGCGTCGGCCAGACCTGCGGGGGGAGAGAGGTGAAATAAACAAACACCGTCGGAATAAACAAACTGTTAGTCAATATGTCGATGTATCAATCAATCTATCTACACTACCCTCAGTCACACCTAACCTAACCTACCCTCAGTCACACCTAACCTAACCTACCCTCAGTCACACCTAACCTAACCTACCCTCACTCACACCTAAACCTAACCTACTCACACCTAACCTACCCCCACTCACCTCCATCACCACCTCCTGACAGGGATGCTGCTCCCCATTCTGTACAATAGGATTCACGTTGCGAAATATGGCCGCCAGACGGTCCAGCCACACCACTGGGTCATTTTTGGTATTCTTCTCGATAGGCAAATTTTCCTGTGGACGAGAGAGACCCAGAGTTAGATAAGGTTAGATTAGGTTTTGTTGGGTGAGGGAAGATTAGGTTTGCTTAAGTTATGTTAGGTAAGTTCTAGAAGGTGTATATAATCATTAATTAGCTCTGTACAGTTAAGATTGTGTACTAGGAGGTATATATGACCATTAATTAGCTCCATACAGGTAAGATTGTGTACTAGCAGGTATATATGACCATTAATTAGCTCCATAGTTATGGTGATTGCACTAGCAGGTATATATAAGCAATTAATTAGCCCATACAGGTAAGATTGTGTACTAGCAGGTATATATATAATTAATTAGCTCTGTACAGGTAAGATTGTCTACTAGGCGGTATATATGACCATTAATTAGCTCCATACAGGTAAGATTGTGTACTAGCAGGCATATATATAATTAATTAGCTCTGTACAGGTAAGATTGTCTACTAGGCGGTATATATGACCATTAATTAGCTCTGTACAGGTAAGATTGTCTACTAGGAGGTATATATGACCATTAATTAGTTCTGTACAGGTAAGATTGTGTACTAGCAGGTATATATATAATTAATTAGCTCTGTACAGGTAAGATTGTGTACTAGCAGGTATATATATAATTAATTAGCTCTGTACAGGTAAGATTGTGTACTAGCAGGTATATATATAATTAATTAGCTCCATACAGGTAAGATTGTGTACTAGGAGGTATATATGACCATTAATTAGCTCTGTACAGGTAAGATTGTCTACTAGGAGGTATATATGACCATTAATTAGTTCTGTACAGGTAAGATTGTGTACTAGCAGGTATATATATAATTAATTAGCTCTGTACAGGTAAGATTGTGTACTAGCAGGTATATATGACCATTAATTAGCTCTGTACAGGTAAGATTGTGTACTAGCAGGTATATATATAATTAATTAGCTCTGTACAGGTAAGATTGTGTACTAGCAGGTATATATTATAATTAATTAGCTCTGTACAGGTAAGATTGTGTACTAGCAGGTATATATATGACCATTAATTAGCTCTGTACAGGTAAGATTGTGTACTAGGAGGTATATATGACCATTAATTAGCTCTGTACAGGTAAGATTGTGTACTAGGAGGTATATATGACCATTAATTAGCTCTGTACAGGTAAGATTGTGTACTAGGAGGAATATATTATAATTAATTAGCTCTGTACAGGTAAGATTGTGTACTAGGAGGTATATATATAATTAATTAGCTCTGTACAGGTAAGATTGTGTACTAGCAGGTATATATTATAATTAATTAGCTCTGTACAGGTAAGATTGTGTACTAGCAGGTATATATGACCATTAATTAGCTCTGTACAGGTAAGATTGTGTACTAGGAGGTATATATGACCATTAATTAGCTCTGTACAGGTAAGTTAAGGAAAGAATAAAATAAAAGTATAAAATAACTAAGGAGATCCTGACAATCTTACCTCCACTACACCTCCCCTTACCTCAATTATCTTCTGCAGGTAAGATATCTGAACCAGACACAACTTCTTCATGTCGTCCTTAATCCTCTCACGGGGGAACCTGCCCAGGATCGACGCCACCCCCTTCAGGAGTCCTACCACGGCCTCGTTGCTTATACTGAAGGAGTCCAGGGAGGCGATTATGTGCATCAGGCCGTCGAAGTGCTGCTCGATGTGGTCGCGGCAGCTCTGGCACACGGCGTCGAGGGCCTGGAAATACGACGGCATAAATGTCTCGATCTTTGACGTCTATAAACACCGTACAGGGAGTTTAGTGCAGGGACGACACCTGCCCCTTGGAGTGTGATGTTTTAACCCTGTATGATGATAAGTCTTGGTGTATGATGACTTGACCCTGTGAGTATGATGATTTGATACTGAGTATGGCACCTTAACCCCTCAAGTATAATGACAAACCTGTAAGTATGGTATCTGAACCCCTTAAGTATGGTATCTGAACCCCTTGAGTATGGTATCTGAACCCCTTGAGTATGGTATCTGAACCCCTTGAGTATGGTATCTGAACCCCTTGAGTATGGTATCTGAACCCCTTGAGTATGGTAACTGAACCCCTTGAGTATGGTATCTGAACCCCTTGAGTATGGTATCTGAACCCCTTGAGTATAGTAACTGAACCCCTTGAGTATGGTAACTGAACCCCTTGAGTATGGTATCTGAACCCCTTGAGTATGATCCTCTGTAAATATGATGATGTATTATGGCATTATATTGTGTGAGTTAACTGACAATAAGGGTTAAATTATGTCTGAGGAGGAGTTAAAACTACTGGTAAGGTTCCGATAACACTGACAGTATATTCTCACACACACGCATGCACACACACACACACAATGTACATATTAAGGGCCGTATTCAAGAACAGTCATGGGATGTACGACGCCATTTACAATGAGCTTCTCGCCCTGATCTTGTTTTAGGAATACCACCTTTCGAAGCTCTGGAAAGCTCTCAAAGTTCAGATATTTTGAGTACGACACTAGCTAATAATTCCCACCAGGAGACTTGCTTCGAGACTCCACCAACGCTTCGAAAAGTGCAGAGTTCCGCGTGTTAAAGGCGATATTGCTGAAAAAAGATCAGGGCATAGGTCATTGTGAATAGTGTCTTACACCCCGTGACTGTTGTTGAAGATGGCCCTAGTACGACACGCACACAATACATACATACACCATAACATACACACTAATATAGAGAAGCTCCACACGCACACACAATAATATAATAAGGGCATTAAAAGACTTGTTAGTATTAGTCTTTCTCACAAAAAAATATTTAGGTAGGAATTTATTTTATCTCAAATTTCCCGGAGTAGTTTACCCGACGATTAAAACCCTAATGCTAGCTGAACCTAACCTAACCCTAATGCTAGCTGGACCTAACCTAACCCTAATGCTAGCTGGACCTAACCTAATTCATTAGGTAGTGTTGGGTGTGTAATCATCAGGCGGAATAAACCAGGGTGCTTATTCTTCAGGTGATCCCTCTATTATCCAGACCATAATCTGACACAAACACTAGTGTTAACCACAACAATTGGTGCAGAAAACTTCCAGGAATGAGACATTTCCAAGTAACCAGATGACTCTCTCCAACCCGGAAAAATATCCCTCATCCCAGGAATTTTTTGGGTATCGGGGAAATATTATTGGAATTCTTTGGAAAATGTGCCCCTCGGAAAATCGTTCTCAATGCCGGAAAATTCTGGGTTTGGGAACGATTTTCTGATTAAATTTAAATTCTAGCTATCGGAGAGTTCCCGGTTTGAGGGCTTCTGGCTAACGGAGATACTACAATTTACCTCATTGAAAGAATATGACAGTTGGAAGTTAACCATTAGATATGTCAACACAACTTTAAAGGTTAAATTTGGCAACTGGTAAATAGACCTCACATCACATGTATGGAAATACTTTTATTATTACAGTGAGTGTGTGTGTTTAACGTGTGGTGGTGGTGGTGGTGGAAATAGTGGTAGTGGGGGTAGTGGTGATAGTGGGGTAATTGGTAGGTGGGGTTGTGTGTGGTGGTGGTGGGAAGGTGGTAGTGGGGGTAGGTGATAGTGGGGTACGGGGCAGGGTGGTAGGTGATAGGGGTAATGGGGTAATGGTAGTGGGGGTAGTGGTGATAGTGGGGTAATGGTGGTAGTGGGGGTAAGGGTGGTAATGGTGGTAGTGGGGGTAATAGTGGTAGTGGGGGTAATGGCTGTAATGGATGATACTAACTTATCTAACAAATAAAGTGAAGCCAGATGATACTTGAGGCAGTCTGTGAGGGCTCCAGGGACCCCATACAAGAGAAGAAACCAACACTACTTTTGATCAATAAAATAAATAAATAAATACAGAAATGGAAACCAATAAAATAGATCAAGATTGAGATAAGATATGTTTGTGGTGTGGTGTGGTGATGTGTGGTGATGTGTGGTGTTGTCAAGATAAACATTTGAGACCCTGTGTGTAAATGAGGCAGAAAGTCAGATCATCAACCTGGTCACATGGCATCAGGGTCTACCATTACACAACACATTATGCTTCCAATATCTTCCTCCCTGTTTGATAGCTGCTTATTACCTGATAATTAAACACCCAACCAAAACCCAACCTAACTCAACCTAAACTATGGTAACCTAACCTACCCCCATTTACCATATCAGGGTGTTAAATCATCAGGTGAAATAATCTAAGGTTCCAACACATGGTAAGATACACCAGGAGGCCATCAAGAGAAACACCACACCAAAACACAGGATCTACAACACTCACACTGACCTATGGCAAAGACACAACCAATGAGTCATCCCGGCCCTAAGGTAAGCTGGTCGATCGTGAGAGGCTGTTCCATATCAGCAACATCACCCAACTACAGCTAACTACCACTGATGATGACCACAGTCCCTACAGCTAACTACCACTGATGATGACCACCGTCCCTACAGCTAACCACCACTGATGATTACCACCGTCCCTACAGCTAACTACCACTGATGATGACCACCGTCCCTACAGCTAACTACCACTGATGAACCACAGTCCCTACAGCTAACTAACACTGATGATGACCACTGTCCCTACAGCTAACTACCACTGATGATGACCATCTCCCTACAGCTAACTACCACTAATGACCACCATCCCTACAGCTAACTACCACCGTCCCTACAGCTAACTACCACCGTCCCTACAGCTAACTACCACTAATGATGACCACCGTCCTACAGCTAACTACCACTAATGACCACCGTCCCTACAGCTAACTACCACTAATGACCACCGTCCCTACAGCTAACTACCACTAATGACCACCGTCCCTACAGCTAACCACCACTAATGACCACCGTCCTACAGCTAACCACTAATATGACCACCGTCCCTCAGCTAACACCACTAATGACCACGGTCCCTACAGCTAACTACCACTAATGACCACCGTCCCTACAGCTAACTACCACTAATGACCACCGTCCCTACAGCTAACTACCACCAATGACCACCACCATTTATGTTCAAATAATAATATCCTGTTAAATACTGAACGATCTGGCATATGATTGAGAACCTTCAGAACATCTCGTGAGGTTAAAACTGAACTTTGTTATAATGTCTACACTTTGGTAAGCTCTCTTGAATCATTAAGATTAGTCACCCTTAGCTTATTTCACCTGATTATCTAACACTACCTTAACACTACCTGGCACGGTTAGGTTAGATTAGGTAAGATAATATAAGGTTTGCTTAGGTTAGGCTCAGTTTGGTTTCCTTAAGTTAAGTTAAAATAGGGTAGGTTTGCTTAAGTCATGCTAGGTTAGGTTAGGAAAAGGGTGTGTAATTATCAGGTGTAATAAGCCAGGTGTCCAATCTACACCCATACACGCCTACACTACACTGGGTGGGTGACCAGACCAACTCACCATACACGCCAACACTACACTGGGTGGGTGGGTGACCAGACCAACACACCACACCCTCTACACTACACTGGGTGGTGACCAGACCAACACCTACACGCACACTACACTGGGTGACCAGACAACACACCACACCGCCACACTACACTGGTGGGTGACCAGACCAACACCACCCACACTACACTGGGGGACCAACACACCATACCCGCTACACACTGGGTGGTGACCAGACCAACACACCACACCCTCCCTACACTACACAGGGGGTGAGACACCACACCTCCTACCACAGGGTGGGTGACCAACTCACCACACCTCCTACACTACACAGGGTGGGTGACCAGACCAACACACCACACCCTCCTACACTACACAGGGTGGGTGACCAGACCAACACACCACACCCTCCCTACACTACACAGGGTGGGTGACCAGACCAACTCACCACACCCTCCCTACACTACACAGGGTGGGTGACCAGACCAACACACCACACAGCTCTGTCTCTCACTGTGATTCATTCTGCCTTAACTAATCTTTTAGGTCCTCGTCTATCTATTAATTAATCTAGTCTTTAATTGAATCACATGAAGATAAGCCCCCTCACCTTATGCCACCTGATGACTATACACCTTAATCCTACCTGAGGGGGTGTTGGATTAGCTTAGGTTTGTGTTAGGTTAGTGTTAGGTTAGATTAGCGTTAGGGCAATTAATCTCAGGTGATCTAGGCCGGGTGGAGTAAAACCTCAGGTAATGACTCATACCCCGTCAGAGCCCCCCTCCTCACTTAAACGAGGTGGTAGTAATGGCCCACCAAGAGTCACTCACCTTCTCTATCCTTCCTCCATTAATTAAATTTGGACCAAGGGGAGGGGGGTGATGAGAGGTGGTGAGGTGGATGAGGTCGAGCGGAGATTTGCCAATGAAGCGGAGGTGTGAGGAGGTGTGAGGAGGTGCCGTCGGCCTCGGTCACCGCAGCAGGACGAGTTCCTAACCTCGGCTGAACTGCTTGAGTCCCAGCGAGAGGTTTTGGTCTATGTTTTATGTTACTTTGGGCTCCTACGATTGTATCTTTATTTTTTTTGTAATTATTTTGTCCGCTGGTCAGAATGAAGGGAGTGTTTGGCTCTTTTGGGTGGTGGTGGTGGTCCTTATGAGAGAGGTGGTCGCGATGTACAGGTCTTTGGTAGTGATAAATGAAGAGAAAATCCAAAGGACTGCATGAAGGTTGCTGCAGTGGTGAGGTGGACTCAAGGACAGGTTGGACTGTAAATCCAAATAAAATACTTTGTAAACTATGGCTATGTCCCGTGCCTTCCCAGGTGCTGGAGCTTGTCGGAGTAAAACAAATAAACATGACTGTCCGGGGAGGAGCAGTTCAAGTACTGGTTAATTAAGTTGAATTACCAATTACTGTACAAGCTTAACAAGTAACTTTATGTCTTGTGAAAGTTATATAAACTAAGGCCTTCGTCCCTCCATACAGGGTGAAGCTTTAACGAAGAAATTAACAGTTAAACTTAATATACTAAAACAGTGTCTTATATACTATATAGAAATGTGTAGTTAACTCACCCGTAACACCTTTCATACACAGAGAACACTTACCAGATCCCAACTTACTTGTAAACCTGTAAAGGGCAAAAAAGGTTCGTCCAGTCCCAATGTAGATGTGAGAATGGACCACAAGCATCAAGAAACTACCACTGATGATGACCACCGTCCCTACAGCTAACTACCACTGCGTCTGTGTGTGTGTATCAGAAAGACACACACACACACACATCACCACCAATGAGCCTGTTCTTGCCTGGACGGACTTGCTATCACTAAATACTGTAGATAATCACAGTCACCCATGAACAGCTGTATATATTTAGAGAACAAATTTATCTTCATTTTTTTTAGTCACGAGGAAATCTATGCACCTAGCGAGTGACCTTTTCCCATTGACACTGTATATTTGTCCAGCCACCTGAACAGTTTTGCCCCATTTGTCCAGCCACCTTTACAGTTTTGCCCCATTTGTCCTGCCACCTGAACAGTTTTGCCCCATTTGTCCAACCACCTGAACAGTTTTACCCCATTTGTCCAACCACCTGAACAGTTTTGCCCCATTTGTCCAGCCACCTGAACAGCTTTGCCCCATTTGTCCAACCACCTGAACAGTTTTGCCCCATTTGTCCATCCACCTGAACATTTTTCCAACCCATGCCGTTCACACTAGTCGAGCCATGGGTCTACCTCCTCATCTACCTGTCTACAACACCTACAATAAAATGACTTTGTTACACACACACACTGTATACCCAATTATGTACACATGCTAAATACTGTACAGACATACACAAGGGATAGGGGACAATCTACATGCACTACATTACAGAGGAATACAGAAAAACCACAACTTTCTACAAGACCAATTATGTATTTTTGCATGTAACTTACTACACTAACCTGACCCAACCAACCATAACATACCCAACCTAACATTAACCTAACCTAACCCCCCTCCAAGGTAGCATTAAAAGCCATATAAGCTAGGGTGGCTAAACTTCACGAGGGCCAAAGACGGTCACCTCCACGCCCCTCAGGACATAGCGGAAAGGTCGTAAATAAAACTGCGTAATATTTGCTTATCTCCCACACAACAACAATGCAAGCATATGTGAACTTCCCCCTCCCTCTCTCTCTCTCTCTAAAATAAGGCGATTATGTACAGTACGCACCTTGGCAGCCACGGTCGCCAGGTGTTTATTAGGGAGCCGCTTGGTAAGGAACTGGAGCACTAGAGGCAGTAAGTTGGGGTGACAGGCGATCCATTCATTCAGTTCGGCCAGGAGTTGTACTGAGGTAAACGCCACTTGTAAATGGACATCGTCGGGCTGGCTCAGGACTCCTTCCAATATGGGCGGGACCACTTCACTCTCCTCGCTGAAATAGACGGAAGTTTACAGTTTATGTTATGGTGTCGATACATAGCTTGAGGAGAATATATCTGGAGCTTTACTTATCCACAGGTGTGTCTTGTATCTATACATGTGATTTGAGTATACAGGGGTCTTATCTATACATGCTATACATACACCGATTAGTTCCTGTGAGAATTTGGAACTCAATCAGTTTATTCCACCTAATTAAATACCATACCCTAACCTTATCACCTTATTTCACCTGATGATCAAATACCTCAACCATACACCAAACAAGAACAACTACCAAGACCACAACAGCTGCCTTAAGAGTCGACATAAGACATCTAAGAGTGTGAAGACAGACTACTCACGGGACGAGATTCTTGGCAACGCTCTGCATGATGAACAGGGCCGCCTCCATCAGATTCCAGTTCTTGGTTACGTCGGGAGACTGGAGGACGTGAGCCATCTGCTGGAAACAGAGCTTGGAGCCACAGATGAACACCACGTCCTTTATCAATTCCTGGACTCTCTCCCGGAACTCGTAGAAGTCGTCCTGCTGCACCAGTATGCTCTCCTGACGTGGCGAGTGGTTATGGTAAGTGTCTCTCTGTGCACCCTATCTCATAAGTGTACATTAATGTAAGGGATGATCTGACAGTCTAGTTCATCCTGTGTTTTATACGTATAAGGATTATATACAGTGAAACCTCCATATAATGTTAGGTGCTGGTTCCACATCTAACGGACCCTCGATATAATGGACTTTCCTCTCAATATAGTTCGTTAGATGGAGGTTCCACATCTAACGGACCCTTGATATAATGGACTTTCCTCTCTATATAGTTCGTTAGATGGAGGTTCCACATCTAACGGACCCTCGATATAATGGACTTTCTTCTCTATATACGGATCTAACCCTCGTAATGGACTCTCAATATAGTTCGTTAGATGGAGGTTCACATCTAACGGACCCTCGATATAATGGACTTTTCTCAATATAGTTCGTTAGATGGAGGTTCCACATCTAACGGACCCTTGATATAATGGACTTTCATCTCTATATAGTTCGTTAGATGGAGGTCCACATCTAACGGACCTCGATATAATGGACTTTCCTCTCAATATACTAGATGGAGGACCCTCGATATAATGGACTTTCTTTCCCTCAATATAGTTCGCTAGATGGAGGTTCACATCTAAGGACCCTTGATATAATGGACTTTCTCTCTATATAGTTCATTGATGGAGGTTCCACATCTAACGGACCCTCGATATAATGGACTTTCCTCTCAATATAGTTCGTTAGATGGAGGTTCCACATCTAACGGACCCTTGATATAATGGACTTTCCTCTCTATATAGTTCGTTAGATGGAGGTTCCACATCTAACGGACCCTCGATATAATGGACTTTCTTCTCTATATAGTTCATTAAATAGAAATTTCACTATAAAGGGCTAACATGTTTTACTCAAATGATGGTACTTGTCTGAGTGTAGTCCATCCCGTGTTTTATAAGCATTACACAGGACTAACAAGTAATACTCACGTGGTCGGGTTCAATCTGACAGTGGCGATAAAGAGCCTCGATCAGACGCTCCACGTAAGGTTTAAATTGTTCGTTGACATTGTCGCAGTTTTTTCTATACAGAACTTCCGACAGCTTATACCAGAAGTTGAAGGTGATCTCCGCAACCTGCAGTGAAATATTTCCGCGATATAATAATTGACGAAGATAATATTAAACACAATAATACAGTATTAACATAATGCGTGGCCCTGGTGTTGGAAGATGGCCGGCACCAACAGAAGAAAGAGAAGAAAGAAGAACCTCCTCACCTCCCAGTCATGGTGGCCAATACAGGTGAGGAGAAGGTGAAGGACTTGTAACGAACCAAGACCTTGATCAGGCTGGTCGACCATCACCTCCACCAGTGTCTCTCCCAGCTCTGAGAAGATTCTGTAACATAGATATAACATGGATATAGTATACACACAGACAGACAGTATATCCAGACATCTACATGCATACACAAACACATGTATCATACACATACATCTACAGTACACACACATACACCTAGTTATCATATTTGTATCACTTATGTTATTGGTCAATCAAGTGACCCATTCACCAATTATGTAACTGTGTATGTTCAACCTTCCAGCTGCCATGCTGTCAATAAACTGTTAATTATTATTAGTGCACACATACAGTACACACAGATTACACATACACACACATACAGTATACACATATTACACATAAAATATTCACAAATTACACGTACACACACATACAGTACACACAGATTACACATACACACACATACAGTATACACAGATTACACATACACACACATACAATATACATACACATACAATACACAGACATCTACACATACAGAGTAACACAAACACAGTGATATTCCCATTAGCCGGAACAATTGGAGCAGAACACTTCCGGGAATGACAGATTTCCGGGTAACGACACGACTCTCTCAGAGCCGGGAAAAATCCCCCATCCCCGGAATTTTCTGAGTACCGGAAAAATTTTCTTTGAATTTTCCGGAAAATCGTTCCCAAAACCGGAATTTTCGGCTTTGGGAACGATTTTCCGAGAAAATTTCAATTCCGGCTATCAGGGAGTTCCGGGTTAGGGGGATTCTGACTAACGGAGATATTACCGTATACACACAAGCACACACACCAATCATGGTAAGACAGTCCAGAGAGTCGTTGCGAAGACTCATTTCAGCTCGGGGAGTGAATCTCTTAACCCCCCGGCCATACACCTACCTTTCAAAATTCGTTAACCCAACATAACCTACCCTAACATAACCTTACCCAACCCAACCTAACCAAACCCAACATAACCTAACCAAACCCAACCCAACATAACCTAACCCCGAGCGTACCTTGCATAATTAGTTATTGCGTTAATATCCTCCATGGCCACGGCTATATGGTAAGGCTCCCCAAGCTGTAGGACTCCTGCGAACAGCACCTCGGCCAGGGGCTGTATTCTCTCGGCCTCCAGCATAATCATGGCCGAACACACGCAGTCAGTCGCAATCTCGTGCAACCTGGAGATAACAAAACAACTACAACTGTTATTTATATATCATAACCTGGAGATAACAAGACAATTACAACTGTTATTTATCTATTTATCATAACCTGGAGATAACAAAACAATTACAACTGTTATCTTATGTTGTGAATCTACCAGGAACACATAATGTCACCATGTTGAAAATGTACCAAGTCTTCTGTATATAATCACCAATTATCATCATAATTATAATTACTAGATATAAATAAATAAATAAACAACTATGATGAATAAGAGAGACAGTAAAATCCTAAAAAAAAACTATAAAAATATAAAATAAAATTAGTACGTACTGTAAAAATGGCCGACTCAATTGGATTACCTGACTAATTTACCAACTTAAGACCTCAAGCTTGGGAGAAAATGAAACAAGAAACATACGCTTCAGGCAAGAGGTAATGTAGTGAGCATAGAGCATTACACGAGCATATACAGTATACCGTAGGAGGGCCTGGGGTCATGCTCCAGCAGAAAACATGAAAAGAACTTACACCATTTTCCTGCAGTAGGAGTCATTTTAAGAGATAAATTCTAATGTTTCCTGTTTGACGTTAATTAAGATTGATAAACAGAGGATGGGTATTAGTGGCTGTGTGATCTAAACAAGTGATGATGAGTGATAATATTAGTGTACAGGGTCAGGGTGGTGGTGTACAGGGTCAGGGTGGTGGTGTACAGGGTCAGGGTGGTGGTGTACAGGGTCAGGGTGGTGGTGTACAGGGTCAGGGAGTGAGGCAGTGTAGAGGGTCAGAATGTCTGAAGTCCTTGGCCAACCACTGAGGATTTCTCCAGGTCTTCACCCTTGAAACATCGGCCATTATCAGTGGATGTTTTATCCTCCCTTACATTTCATCGCCATTTTATGGGCTTAAACCGACAACATGCATTCTGCAAAACACATTTTACAGGGGGGTTTGCAGGCTGACACTTGAGGATTCCTGACCACATTGAGTATGTCCCCAACGAGGCAGGTGTTAGTGAGCATGACCCATTCTTCAGTGTGGATGTTGAACCAGGAGGCCAGACACCGCAGAGCCTTCAGGTGGGTGCTCTCTTTCGTGGCTCCCTCAGTGCTCACACCAACATGCTGTATAAAGGATGAAACAATGCTGTACCAGGTGGCATTTTAAGTCAAGAACAGTTAATGACCAATAAAATGATATGCTGAGTGTCTTAAGTAATGAAACAATACTGTACCAGGTGGCATTTTAAGTCAAGAACAAGGATAATGCAGTACACAAAGGTATCGTACAGGGCATTATGATGTGCAGGACAGATGCCACCTTACCTGAGGATCTCCAGGCAAGAGGTAAACATTACTCTAGGGGTTATGTCATTATACTCAAGGGGTTGATTATAATACACAACGGGCCATTCATTATACAGTACTCTAGAGGTTTAAGTTTACACTCACCAGTAACTCTACAATACTAGGAACTTTCCGTCTGAAGTATTCATCCAGCTGTTTTCTTCTGTTTAGCCCTAACCGCAACTGTCTGGAGTGCAGTTCTTCGGGGAGAGCTATTAGCACCTCCAGGAGCGGCACCAAGTTTGGGGTACTCGACCTGGGCCCAAACTGAGTGATCAAATCCCCTGAAAGAAAGAAGAAAATGGACCAGTCATTGATTTTCCTGCCTTGTCCATAGAGCCTTAACACCCTCCTACCCCCTTGCCTTCACCCTGAGGAACACCCTTCAAGTTTTCTCCACACTCATAACAGCTTGTGAGCCAGACTAGACGCTGCCTGGTCAGTATTCCGCTGCGTTGATATTTCCCGTTTGCTTCTGTAGCTGTGTGTGTTCTTTTAACTCTGTAAACTGTTTGGTATTGTAATCCACTGTTTTGAGACCTTCCCCATCACTCCATTATTATGATCGATCTTTTTGTTTTCCCGATTCTCTCTTCGTTTCTTCATCAGTTGATCGTAAGGAACCTCTATCTTAATCTATTATGAACAAATCTTCTTTTCTGTTCCTATTTTCATTATTCTCTCCTTTATTCATTATTCTATTTCCCCGTTCAATAATATAATGCACCTCCTCCTTATCACCCTCAGACAACAATAGGGGTTCGTTCCTATAGCACGATCAATGGCTAGAAAAGTCCCCCTAAAATACACAAATAACAATCAAGTCTTGGTATTCCACACGATACACCGAGCAGGAACAAACAAACGAATCATCACGTCGTTCGAGTGAGACTGCCACGACAGTACTTACCAATAGGATCTTCCCACGATGCCATATGCAGGGCCAAATCAGCCAGTGCCACACAGAGCTGGGTAGCGATGCCCTGGTACGTGTGTTCTGTGATGTGACTAAGGTGTTCCAACATGGACGCTCGGAGCGATGCATGGGCCTCCACCGGCAGCTCTCCGAAGTACAGCTGTAAGTTAACCAATTATTGGGATTTTCACCTGATGATTAGACACCCCAAGCTTATTTCACCTGATGATTAGACACCCCAAGCTTATTTCACCTGATGATTTAACACCTTAGCACTAATTTAACCTAACTCCCCCCCCCCCATCCCAACAAGTAGGATAGGTTAGATTAGGTTATTGTGTTCAGATAGGATAGGTTAGGTCAGCATTATATTAATTAACCACCAGGTGAACCACAGGTGTGTAATCATCAGGTGATCAGAGAACAGTAGTGTGGTAGTGAATATATCCATCACTAATTACCAACAAAGTTTTTAAATGACTCTCAAACATCTAACATCAGATACAAAAAAAGAAAGTCAAATTTTAATATCATACATCCATGGAATCTGACGAGTTTTACGCACTAGGTTAAACAAGTCTAAGACCCCTTTAATCTTTGACTTTTCCCTCGCAAATGACCTAAAATAAACTAACCTAACCTCTCTGGAACCCCCCCGTGTATATGTAAGTCATTTGTGAGGGAAATATCATAGATGAAAGGGGTCTTAGAATTATTTAACCCTTTGGTCTACGATGATTTAACCCTTTGGTCTACGATGATTTAACCCTTTGGTCTACGATGATTTAACCCTTTGGTGGACGATGATTTAACCCTTTGGTCTACGATGATTTAACCCTTTGGGCTACGATGATTTAACCCTTTGGTGGACGATGATTTAACCCTTTGGTGGACGATGATTTAACCCTTTGGTGGACGATGATTTAACCCTTTGGTGGACGATGATTTAACCCTTTGGTGGACGATGATTTAACCCTTTGGTGAACGATGATTTAACCCTTTGGTCTACGATGATTTAACCCTTTGGTGGACGATGATTTAACCCTTTGGTCTACGATGATTTAACCCTTTGGTCTACGATGATTTAACCCTTTGGTCTACGATGATTTAACCCTTTGGTCTACGATGATTTAACCCTTTGGTCTACAATGATTTAACCCACCATGACTCAAAGGGTCTTAAAATATTGATTGTAAAGGTAAAACCCATCAGATTCCATTATTGTGTGAAACTAAAACAATACCAAATACCTTAAAAATAAATCCACAGCTTACCTGTATTTTGGTGCGGAGTGTCTGGGCCGCGAAGAAGCACGAGTTGACATCGCGTTTGGCGTGTAGTAATTGGTCTGCTACCTTCCATGCTTGTACCTGTAACGATGACACGTACAAATGAGACTTAACTCTAGGGTTGTATTATGGGTGTATAGTTAGTCTGTCTGTCTGTCTGTCTTTTACATGTGCATAGTCTCTCACACACACAGCCATACCTTAACCTAACCTAACGATACGGAACCTAACCTAACGATACAGAACCTAACCTAACGATACGGAACCTAACCTAACGATATGGAACCTAACCTAACGATACGGAACCTAATCTAACGATATGGAACCTAACCTAACGATATGGAACCTAACCTAACGATATGGCGATGAACCAACCTATACGCATAATCGGAACCTAACCTAACCCCTAACGACCTAACGAACCTAACCTAACGATACGGAACCTAACCTAACGATACGGAACCTAACCTAACGATACGGAACCTAACCTAACGATACGGAACCTAACCTAACGATACGGAACCTAACCTAACGATATGGAACCTAACCTAACGATATGGAACCTAACCTAACGATATGGAACCTAACCTAACGATACGGAACCTAACCTAACGATGGAACCTAACCTAACCCCCTCTCTTCAGCTAAAATTAGGGTGGTTAATCTTCATGTGAAATAAGTTGGTGGGGGGTGTGTGAATCTTCAGGTGGTCAAAAAAAGCTAATTTATATATTAATTTGTGAAAAAAAGTTAGGTTAAGAAAATGTGAACCAAATTTTCACCACCAAAACTGTACTGTAGTCCAAATAGTATTAATGGCATTGGTTATCAAGGCTTGAGCTGTAAACTAATAACATTTACTAATATAAAAATCAATAAGTAAATTAAATACTGTACAAAATTCATCATAAACACTATCTCAAGAAGCCACAACAATTATACAGGTACAGTCGTATCCCCTTAAAGCTTGTGTCCCGCGGAACTCACAGATTGTCATGGAAAATAAATATGATAAATTTGAGGCTGCGTGTCAGGGATCATCACTACAGGTCAGTGCAGGTCATAAGATGTACCAGGGACCATCACTACAGGTCATAAGATGCACCCTGTAATAGCCTACTGTACTGTACTGTCAGAGTCAAGTCACAGGCTGTTATGGTTCTCACTACCACAGCTCACCATCACTTTATGGATCTATTATCAAACACTTGTTGGTATTATTAATAAAATTGACCTAATGTAACACAAAAGGACATAATTATAGGTACCAACAGTATAAATACTTCTCAGTACCAGACAAGTTCACTAGCATCTGTCCAGGTCAGGGATTGCTTACATCTTGTGCACCAGATCACCTCACATGTCAGAGGTATTATATTGTCACTACTAACTATCACTGTATGGATCTAATGTTTATTTATTATATTGTATTATTCATATATGTATTATTTATATATGTATTTTACACACTCCTCAGACTGGCATGAAAGACTCGCGGATATTGCTTTCTCACGGGGTCCAGTTGACGTAACCCCAGCGAGCTTTAGGGGAATACTGTATTTTTACACACGACACTCATACAGACGTTATTATAGCAGCTTATTCTCACTCCACAATAGCGTCCTCACATACTAACTTAAATTATTAAAAAAGCGTAAATACAGTTCCCAGTGACAAGTAAAGGGACCATCTCAAGTCCTACCGCGACCCAACCCCAGTATAAGCGGTTTAGTTCCAAGCCGACCAAAGACACGCAGCGCTTAATGGTTTATGTCCGTTGGAATCCGTTTGATTAAGAAAATTGAAGTAATGACGTCAGGTGCTTCTACAGCATCAGGTTAGGTTAGGTTAGCATCAGGTCAGGTTAGGTTAGCATCAGGTCAGGTTAGGTTAGGTTAGCATCAGGTCAGGTTAGGTCAGGTTAGCATAAGGTCAGGTCAGGCTAGCATAAGGTCATGTTAGGTTAGATAAGGTCAGGTCAGGCTAGCATAAGGTCATGTCAGGCTAGCATAAGGTCAGGTTAGGTTAGCATAAGGTCAGGTCAGGCTAGCATAAGGTCAAGTTAGGTTGAAATTCTGGTTTTCCGATGACTTTTGATGTTCTGAACAATAATGACCTACTTCTCAATAAGTAATTTTACCATTTAACCAACCAGTTAATTATCTTCATACAGGTTAACCAAGACATTAACATCAGGACAAATAAATAATAATTAAGCTGAAATTAGTTACAAATCGTTTATAAATTAGAATAAAACATAACTAATCCAATTATATTAACCACAGTGTTAATAAAACCATCACTCCCAGTACATCATTAACAGGTAAATTAATTAATAACTAAAAAAATAAATAAAACCTTTCTGTTAATACTAAACTTATTAATTGTATCTAATTTACATATACTGAAGAATAAAAGAAATTAATTAAAAAAAACACCAAATTAACCTCTTATATAACATAAATTAACACCAATATTTTAATTATATTTCTACCTACACCAAACCTACTAAAATAACCTAATTAACTAAATAACAAAGATAAAATAATAATTAACAATAAAATTAAATAAAAACCACATGTTAAAATTTACATCATTAAAAGAACAAAAATTAAATAACCAATAATTATATCACAATTCCTTATACTAAATTAATTATAGAGATGTTAAATAAAGATAAAATAATATAATAAGGTAATAAAAAGAGAATAATTACCGATCTCTGTAACTGGCCGAGCCATTTTGAAGCTTGATCATGTTTCTGCTTATCTTGGAGCTCAGCGTCATATAATGTACTAATAGCCGCCAACACCTCATTAATATCCACTTCCATCTTAACATAATCAAGGAGAGAAGGTGTAAGATGAGGTTATATAAGAAGAAATAGACATAATAGGGGATTTTTTTCTTGAACTACCCCTAAGAGACGCTAGGGACTATGACACCTCCCCCCCTTCCTTTACTTTTCCCCACCTTATTTAACCTCTTTTTATAACCTCTATTGGTGTGTTATCTGTGTGTTTCTCCGGTTGGTTGTCACAGGTTGTAGTAGAGAGGAAGGTAATGGCTGTAGGTAGGTTTGTTTTGTCACAATATTAATCTGTTAGTAGCGGCCACAAGCTAACTGATATTTCTGGCTGATTCCTTAACGTCTCTTGCCTGAGGGACTCATGGCCTAAAACTTTATATATATCTACCACATCAACTAACTCTTTATTAATACTATATCTATTCTATATTTGGTATTTATTAATTATTATTATATTTTTTGTTAATTTGTTATTTTTTTAAGTTGTTATGGATGATATTAATTTTTTTAACTTTATATACTTAGCTCTTAAATTAAGTCTTTTATTACTCTATTCACTCTATATTGAGTTTATTTATGTATTTTAATTTATATTTATTATTTTGATAATTAATTTACCATATTAAGGATAATAATGATATTCTCTCCATATTTATCTTATTTACGCCTTATAACCCAATAAAACCTTTCTAGATGTTTATAATTTATCAATTTTATTTTTTATTCTTTAATATGACTCATTTTTATTATTTTATTACCTTATTAACACTGAAAATTTTTGGAGGTAAATTTATGATATATAGATTATAATGGATGATAGACTAGTGATACATTGACAGATATTATACTAAATTACATTATATTTTGTCCAATATTAATATTCCTGAATTAACATTTGACATCTGACATTTTATTTTATATTCAACATTTTCAAATGATGACTGTAAAAGAGATCTCAAGTATAAACAAAGTCATATATGTAAAATTCCTTATCACTCAATTATAAATCGTGGAGATTATATAATTAAAAATAAAAAAATATATAATAATAAAAACTTTTATTAAAATTATAAAATATATCGTAATAATGATTTTTGTAAATATTAGAATATGGATGACCCAGCGCCCGTTACCTGACTCCCGCCATTGGGTGAATCATACAAACACAACATGGCCTCAGGCAATTTCTTTATTTTACGAAAATTTCACCATCTATGAGGGTTATATTACTCAAATTACCCACATAAATTATAATAAATAATAAATATTAATAAAAATTAAATAAATATATCCAAATAAATATAGTAGGAAAATATGAAGAAATTTAATTTTCTGTATATTCATATTTCATTCATATATTTTATTAATCTTTATTTTAGGAAGAAAATCATATATGTCTACCTACCTATTTTTTACTTTACCTGTCTGTTATCGCGCGCTTGGGTCTAAAATAACTTATAATAATAAACTGAGTCGTGGTCAATGCCTCTACCTGGACTGCCAGCGTTGCCACCCTGTAGGAGATATGACCTCACGTGGGGACTTCTGTGGGAGGACATTTCTATCATGAAATCTGTGTAACTTTTTTGTGGGCATTTGACTTTTTTTTTTGGTATCTTTTGTGGGAATTCTATCTCATGTGGGATTTTTGTGAGAAACAGCCCACAGGAGAACAAAAGTACCCAAATATTTCATCTATTGCATTGGCTTTATTTTCACTTCCCTTTCCACTGTAGTTGTCGGGCCGTTGTGAGAAGGTGAACCAAGTGACTAAGTTATTGAGTCTTACAAGAAGGTCGTTCAGATATCTAGACGGTCCGTCCCTCGTAACGATCTTCAAGAGTGAAGTGCTTCCCCGTCTGGTCCCCGAGATATGCCAGGGACTGTCAGTTGGTTGAAAATGTCCAAAGGAGGGCCACCAGACTGGTGCCTGCACTACGGCACCTCAACTACCCTGAGAGATTGGAACACCTGCAACTGCCCAGCTTATACTACAGACGGGCAAGGGGGGGACCTAGTTGAGGTGTATAAACATCTCAAAGGGCACTACTCAGTCGAGTGTCCTGACCTGGAGCTGGCGGACGCTCGCCCCACAAGGGGTCACAGCTCAAGGTTGAAGAAGCCACAAGTCCAGAAAACTGTGAGGGCAAACTTTTTCGGAGTGAGAATTGTGAACTGTTGGAACAACCTGCCAGAGAGTGTTGTGACGGCACCGAGTGTGAGCTGTTTCAAGACCAGACTTACCAACACTGGAGCAGGTTCAGGTACATTCAGGAGCCGGTACATGCCCAGTACTTACCAACAGTGTGTAACAGAGAGCCAGTACATGCCCAGTACTTACCAACAGTGTGTAACAGAGAGCCAGTACATGCCCAGTACTTACCAACAGTGTGTAACAGAGAGCCAGAACATGCCCAGTACTTGCCAACAGTGTGTAACAGAGAGCCAGTACACACCCAGTACTTACCAACAGTGTGTAACAGAGAGCCAGTACATGCCCAGTACTTGCCAACAGTGTGTAACAGAGAGCCGGTGCATGCCCAGTACTTGCCAACAGTGTGTAACAGAGAGCCAGTACGTGTCCAGTACGTACCAACAGTGTGTAACAGAGAGCCAGTACATGCCCAGTACTTGCCAACAGTGTGTAACAGAGAGCCAGTACATGTCCAGTACTTACCAACAGTGTGTAACAGAGAGCCAATACCTGCCCAGTACTCGCCAACAGTGTGCAACAGAGAGCCAGTACATGCCCAGTACTTGCCAACAGTGTGTAACAGAGAGCCAGTACGTATCCAGTACTTACCAACAGTGTGTAACAGAGAGCCAGTACATGCCAGTACTTACCAGCAGTGTGTAACAGAGGCCAGTACACACCCAGTACTTACCAACAGTGTGTAACAGAGGAAACCAGTACATGCTGCAGTACTTGTCAGCAGTGTGTGGCAGAGGCCCAGTGCACGCAGTACTTCCGCAACCAGTGTGTGACAGGCCGTTACACATGCCCAGTACTTGCCAGCAGTGTGTAACAAGAGCCAGTACATGCCCAGTGCTTGCCAGCAATTGTAACAGAGAGCCATGCTGATGCTTGTCAGCAGTGTGTAACAGAGGCAGTACACACCCGGTACTTCACCAACAGTGTGTGAAACAGAGAGAGCCAGTACATGCCCGAGTACTTGCCAGCAGTGTGTAACAGAGAGCCAGTACATGCCCAGTACTTACCAACAGTGTGTAACAGAGAGCCAGTACATGCCCAGTACTTACCAACAGTGTGTAACAGAGAGCCAGTACATGCCCAGTACTTACCAACAGTGTGTAACAGAGAGCCAGTACATACCCAGTACTGTAACACTGAACTGATTCCTCATAACCCCACAGCATGCAACCATAACCTAATCCCCGTTCTTCTTAACACTTAATGCTTTGTTTGAAAGAAGGATACTACATTACTTTTTATTTCTGCCACTATAGGCCGTCACTTAAGCATGCTACTGTACAACTTATTACATTTGGTAGTTTGAGTTTTATGTCTTCTAACGATTAATTTATTATACTTTTACATCTTTTGATAATAAATTTGGCGTAACTTAATTTCGGTTCGCTCAGGTGTGGTAAATGACTCACTGGTCAGACTCAGTGTACTTCAAGCAGTGGCCGAGGGAGGGTATTGGTGATAAGCTTCTCCTATAAATTGGTAAGCCTATATTAAAACTAAACCATAACATGACTGGTATTTGGTGATATTTATGTACTCTATATAATTACTAAATCAAGTCTTCTAGATATACAATGATGAGAAACAATATGTTTTAGGATTTTTTCAAGACATTTTTTTTAGATTATTGTATCTGAGAAATATTTAAATCTTTTATTTTAATTAATTTACTGGGTTCTTTCTTTAACCTGCAATGAATTATGTGAGATTAAGGTTAATTTAAGTTCTATAATATTCATAATTAATATACGTTAATTCTGGTGATAATTTTTGGACTTGAAAATATTGAAAATAAATAATACTGGGTGTTTTATGACTACTCAGGAGCAGATGGTGGTAGTTGTGGTAGTTGTGGTTATGGCGGCAAGTTTGACCCAAGCCTTGAGACACCCACAGGACCCAAGGCACTTAAGGTATGTCTACTACTACTATTATTACTACTACTATTTTTTTTTTTTTTTTTTTTTTTTTTAAACGTGGCCTCCAGCCTCCCCCAATAGCCACACCTTCGCCACCATTTATTTACCTTAATATTAAATATCCTAATACATAAGAAACTATCCTATCTGTGTTAAATTAGTTGAGCCGCAGATCTATGCGGCATTCAGTGACTGTAGCCTCATAGTCGATATCTGCAGCAGTTGTCGGAGTAGGGGCAGAAGCTCTCGTTCCCCTGAGGCAGAGCAAAGCCGACCGAAGGAGAGAGAAGGACAGTCGACATCTCATCCAGGCTGTGACATAACTTCTGGGCTGCTGCTTCTGTTCGGAGATCAGCTCCGCGAGTCTGGCGTAGAAACATCTTGCACTTGGGCCCATCCCACCAGAGGTTGTGAACACTAGAGGAGTGAAGCTGCCTTGATCAACATTTTGAATTCTCTCCCCATATGCCCTTCTCTTGTCGTTCTCGTTCCTCCTATGCGCAGCATCGAGAGCTAGGTTACGGTGACAAACGGCCATGGGATCAAAAATCCTGATGTCGAAGAAAGCTCGCTGTCCCAGCGTCCAGAATCCTCGAGCACTGACGTCCACACGGGCTTCGTTAGATGTGTTTGAAGTCCTGTGTTGGAAGATCTCGCCATCCAGTGGAAGGAGGGTCGGTTCTACCATGACGTCCCGACAGATTTCCTTCAACATATTTGCTGTGAGATCCCTTACCTCGTCATGCCTCATGCATATGAAGCCCCCCTTCTTGCAAACCATGGCGTGATCGCCATCATAGGAATAGCCACACACGCATTGGGAGGGCAAACCATCTACTGGCCAACCGTACCTTAGAGCAATGGCATCTGTAAATTCTTGTTTGTTAAGGCTGAAACCATTTGCCCTTATCGGTAACGTAGTTAGCCAGTTCGAGGCGCCCACCTCCTGCGCTATAGCTACTTTTTTTGTCAAATTTTCTGGAACCAGCAGCAATAGTTGCTGCAACATGTCATTTTGGCAGTTCTGCCGATCTGTTGTAATGGACCTACGGATCTTATTAACTTCGCTGGTGTCCACTTCCCCTGTTGCATTCTGGGCGATTATGTGGTCAGTGAGGGCTGCCGTGAGCTTAAGTGAATTTTGATGTTCAGAGTCAGCAATCTCCTCTGGATTAGTTAGTCCCATCCCTCCCAGTCTTGGTGGAAGTGCAAGAAGTGTTCTTTCTGCTAGGGTTAAGTCGTGGTGTTTCACTAGTTTGGGAATGAACTTGACACTGATTGCTTCTTCCAAAGGGTGGAGGAGGGGTCGGATCTCAGGGATGGTACGCATCAGGTAGTTCCAACGATGCTTGACTCCATGTGTGAATGCTGCAAAGGCCGCATGTGGCTCTGTGTTAGCAATCTCCGATAGAGCATGGATTTCGCTAACCCACTCATTCACCTTTCCCCCTACGTACTGGGTCTTGAAGTCCGTAGTGCCAATTACTGCGCCTAGATGTCTTTGGCCGTCCTTAGTTATTTTGACCTCACTTTCGCCGAAAACCTCCACAGCCCGATCATAATGATCTGGCTTCACGATGAGGAAGGATTTGCTGGCGTTAGGGTGGTACCCTATATGTGGACCTCGCGATGTTACCAGGTCCCACCACTTTTTGATGTCCTCCACTTTTCCTGCTCCTGTGAGGTCATCAGCATATGCCACTTGTTTGACCCCAGTTGTTTCATACTTTATTTCTTGTTGGAGCACTGATAGGCCTATTGCATACATTGCCATTGCAACGGGGTCCCCCTGTGTTGTTCCCTCGGTCGACTGTAGGATGGTATCACCTCGGAGAGCCTTGTTGTTTACTATGTAGAGGTCTGAAGGATTCCTATACGAATTTTCAACATACATCGCAAAGCTAGGACACTTGATCTTGATGTTGTGCAGTGCAGCCTTGCGGTTAAGTATGTTGAATGCGTTTGAGGCATCCACCAGAAGAACGGCCTCACAATCACGCTGCTCAAATATCAATCTCATGGCGTGAATGGCCGCCTCCCCACCAGCCTGGTGGCCAGCACACACTTGTAGGTTCCCTGCTGCTGCCCTGACATCATCCTTTACCACCTCCATTATACACTTTCCGATGATCCGCCTCAGCACTTCCCCCACCCCTATAGGTCTACATCCTGGATTCTTTTCCAGAGGAATAAGGCGGCAGGCCGTCAGAGCCTGGAGGTGATGGCAGCAAGAGGATGCAAGCTTTCTTGCAAGGGTGGCAATGGCAATGCAGAGTTCGCTTGCTACAGGGCCAAACTTGTTAGTGCTGAGGATGACTCTCCAACCGTTTGCATCCAGACCTGAAGGGCCGGCTCCTCCTCGAGTCTTCAGTGCCTTTTTCCACACCATCTCTCCTGTTATTTTCTCGAACAGGACAATATTTGGTGGGATATAGTCACCCTGTAACCTGATGCCTTCATCTTCACTTGCAGGGGGATGTTTCTCTTTCAATAGTTTTAATGTCGCCCTGTTTATTGGCATCACTCCACCGGAGGATTCATGTGTTAGAGATCTTACCGCGAGAGACACTTTTCCCACACGCATTTTGTTTCCAAATTTTCTTGCCACGTCATCGGTGTTTTGCTTTCCGTCACCCGTAGATTTTAGTCTCTCCTGCAGTGTTCTTGCTTCACATAGGAGATCATCTAGGGTCCCAGTCCGCCACATTGTCGACCTTCTCTTCATTGCTGCCACATTTTTTTTATAATGGCCTCCAGCCTCCACCAATAGCCATACCTTCGCCGCCATTTTATTACCTTAATATTAAATATCCTAATACATAAGTAGCTATCCTATCTGTGTTGAGTTAGTTGAGCCGCAGATCTATGCGGCATTCAGTGACTGTTGCCTCATAGTCAATATCTGCAGCTGTTGTCGACTTTAGGGCCGATCCTCTCGTTCCCCTGAGGCAGAGCAAAGCCGACCTGAGGAGAGAGAAGGACAGTCGACATCTCATCCAGGCTGTAACATAACTTCTGGGCTGCTGCGTCTGTTCGGAGATCAACTCCGCGAGTCTGGCGTAGAAACATCTTGCACTTGGTCCCATCCCACCAGAGGTTGTGAACACTAGAGGAGTGAAGCTGCCTTGATCAACGTTCTCAATTCTCTCCCCATATGCCCTTATCTTGTCGTTCTCGTTCCTCCTGTGTGCAGCATCGAGAGCTAAGTTACGGTGACATGCGGCCATGGGATCAAAAATCCTGATGTCGAAGAAGGCTCGCTGTCCCCACGTCCAGAATCCTCGAGCACTGACGTCCACACGGGCTTCGTTGGATGTGTTTGAAGTCCTGTGTTGGAAATTCTTACCGTCCAATGGAAGGAGGGTCGGTTCTACCATGACGTCCCGGCAGATTTCCTTCAACATATTTGCTGTGAGGTCCCTTACCTCGTCATGCCTCATGCATATGAAGCCCCCTTTCTTGCACACCATGGCGTTATCGACGTCATAGGAAGAGCCACACACGCATTGGGAGGGCAAACATTCTACTGGCCTGCCGTACCTTAGAGCAATGGCATCTGTAAATTCTTGTTTATTGAGACTGAAACCATTTGCCCTTATCAGTAACGTAGTTAACCAGTTCGAGGCGCCCACCTCCTGCTCTATAGCTACTGTTTTTTTTTTTTTTTATTCTCTGGTACCTGCAGCAACAGTTGCTGCAACTTTAATCACTTTGGCTGTGCTGTCGTTCTGTCGTAATGGACATTCGAATCTCGTTTACTTCACTGGTCTCGACCTCCCCTGTTGCGTTCTGGGCTATTATGTGGTCCGTGAGGGCTGCCGTGAGCTCAACTGAGTTTTGATGTTCGGTGGCATCAATCTCCTCTGGATTGGTCACTCCCATTCCTCCAAGTCTCGGTGGTAGTGCAACGAATGATCTTTCTGCTGGGGTTAAGTCGTGGTGTTGCACTAATTTGGGAATGAACTTGACACTGATAGCTTCTTCCAGAGGGTGGAGGAGGGGTCCGATCTCAGGGATGGTACGCATCAGGTAGTTCCAGCGATGTTTGACTCCATGGGTGAATGCAGCAAAAGCCGCATGTGGCTCTGTGTTAGCAATCTCAGACAGAGCTTGGATTTCCCTAACCCACTGAATCACCTTTCCCGTTACGTACTCGGTCTTGAAGTCCGTCGTGCCGATTACCGCGCCTAGGTGTCTTTGGCCATCCTTTGTTATTTTGACCTCACTTCCACTGAACACCTCCATTGCCCGTTCATAATGTTCTGGCTTCACGATGAGGAAGGACTTGCTGGCGTTTGGGTGGTACCCTATTTGTGGACCTCGCGATGTTACCAGGTCCCACCACTGTTTGATGTCCTCCACTTTTCCTGCTCCTGTAAGGTCGTCGGCATACGCCACTTGTTTGACATCAGTTGTTTCAAATGTTATTGTGTGTTGGAGCACTGATAGGCCTATTGCATACATTGCCATTGCAACAGGGTCCCCTTGCGTTGTTCCCTCGGTTGACTGTATGATGGTATCACCTCTTAGAGCCTTGTCATTTACTATATAAAATTCTGATGGATTGCTATAGGCTACTACTACTACAATAATAATAATGTTTCAAGGCAAAGCTATTTTTTTATTAATATAAATCATAATTAAATTCTTTTGACGATAACTATTGTAAACTATGTTCCAATTACTTCGTTGGAACTAAAATTCGGCACTATGTATTGTACAGTATATTGTTTGTATATCTGCACTGTATGTATATTTTGCATCTTACATTGTGTATATACATTATTTATGCACCATACACTGTGTATATACATTGTTTACACACCTTACACCATCTATATACGCTATTCATATACATTTTCAGTTTAATTATGTAGTTTTTATCTATCTCTCACTATCAGGTTCAAGGGTGGAAGAGAGCTAGTGGTGGCGGTGGAAGAATGGAAACCACACGTCACCATCACGCAGGACGCTAACCACACCACCATTTCAGGACCTATGGCTAATTTATTGGATATTTTAGCCCTTTCTCTCAATTTTACGTAAGTGTAGAGTTCTTTCTCACTTTCTTTACTTTCTCTCGGTTTTATTGAGGTGGGTGTGTGTGTATCAAGGGTATCATGTTTAGTGTTGTAACCGAACATCAACACATAAAGCTGTTTCATCAAGCTAAATTAGTATAATAACATGAATACATAAGCAATATATCTTTTATAGACTAATATTGACCCAAACTTAACCTAACCAAGAATAATTTGTCTATGTCAGTTATTCGTTATGGCGGAAAATGAAATTGACGTTTTTGAAATATTTACAGTAATATTCTGTAATTTAGTCTAATATTACAGTAATATTGGTAATATATCTTTTGTATGAGTGTATGTCTTGTGTATGACGATAATATTTCACCTTGGTTATGTATTAAAAGAAATAGATTGGGTTGGGTTAGGTTAGTATTTAAGGAAGTGAGAAAGGGAGAAAGTGAGAGGGAAAGAGAGTGTGTGTGAGGAGAGAGAAAATGTATGAGAAAAAGAGAAAATATATGCTAGTGTGTGTGTATAAGAACTAAAACACCTGTTCCTCTCTTACAGGTACACTTTAGTTAGGCCCCCAGACGGTACGTGGGGTTTCAGGTACCACGATGGTACCTGGTCGGGCATGGTCGGTATGGTAGCGAGGAAGGTAAGACTCACATATAATTTAACTATAATTTAAATCACAGAGGTAATTATAGGTATGAATGAGTCAGTAAATTCCAAAATGATCCTTACATCATTGTGGCAATAATTGAATTTCTATTGTTAATGCTAGTAATAACACTATTGAAAAGGGAAAAATGCTTATAATGCAAAAATATGCCTTTTGCTATCCTATTATTAACGTTAATCATGTTTAATAAGTAAAGTGAATTTTACATAAGATCAGACAAACCCAAATGACTATTCCTGGTAAGCCAAGTAATAATGTGTCTGAAGGAAGAATGTATATACCTCAGGAAGCAGATATGGGACTAGGACCATTTGCCATGACAGAACCACGAGCATCTGTTATCGTCTTCACAACACCCATCCTCAGCGACTACTCTAGGATGATAGGAGGTCGTGGTGTACCGGAGATCGATCCTTGGGGTTTCCTGTTGCCCTTAGCTCCTCAGGTCCTAGCAGCGACTTTGGCAGCCTTAGTGACAGCTGTTTTTGTGGTGGTAATCCTCTCTTACTTCGCCGCGACGCGTGATAGCAGTTATGAATCGCTGTCATCTGTCTTTTTCATCTATTATCGTGTGCTCTTACAACAAGGTAATTCTGATTAAATAAACTGCTTTACGTGTTTTTCACTTTATGCATTCAGGTACCTAAATAAACTGTTCATGATGTTATTCACTCAGTATATATTAAAATATCAACATAAACTCATATGCTATTCACTTTATCAAAACATATTAAGTCAAATGTTATTCACTATCAAAATATCTAAACTGTGTAAAAAATTTCTCACCCAGATCGAGTTACAAGAGAGAACAAAACATGGCAGAGGATACTAACAGCAGCTTGGATCCTGACTACAGTAATACTAACGTGGAGTTACTGTAGCAATCTTACCTCTCAAATGACGGTCCTCTACACCTCACACCCTTACCAGACAGCTGAGGATTTTATACAAGACACAGAGGCTGTGCTTTACGTAGAAACAGACACAGCTGATGCACAGATTTTAAAGGTAGGTTGGTTTTGGTGTGGTGGTCAGGGTGAATGTCTGTCTGTCTGTCATGTTACTTGAGGAATATTTTATTTTGGATTCTTGCTTGCGTCTTTCTCTCGATTTGACGAATGGTAGTTTAGGTATCATAAAGTAGGTTAGGTCATGTTAAGTTAGTTTTACGTTAGGTTAGGTCATGTTAAGTTAGTTTTACGTTAGGTTAGGTCATGTTAAGTTAGTTTTACGTTAGGTTAGGTCATGTTAAGTTAGTTTTACGTTAGGTTAGGTTAAGTTAGTTTTACGTTAGGTTAAGTTAGTTTTACGTTAGGTTAGGTTAAGTTAGTTTTACGTTAGGTTAGGTTAAGTTAGTTTTACGTTAGGTTAGGTTAAGTTAGTTTTACGTTAGGTTAGTATTATGTTATCTATCCATATACAATCAATTATAATATGTGTATGTTAGGTCAGTATATATCTGTCTGTCTGTCTCCCTCTGTCTATCACCATCACTCTCTCTCTCTCTCCCTCACTATCACTCTCTATCTCTCTCTCTCACTCTCCCTGGACAGAACGCCAACTCAGGTATTCTACACAAGTTAGGAAGGCTGGAGGATAAAGGTCGTCTGAAATACAAGAGACAGGATGAAAACAACTTCATCCTAACAGCCATGATTACAGGTCAACCTCTCGTCCTGTTGTTGGATGACCTCACCTCTCAGGTCATCATGGGTCAACATTTTTCCCAAACAGGTTATTAACGTGTTTGTTTTTGGTGTGTATTTGTTGATTAATATTAAGTTAATTTGTTTAATCTGTTATGAGGTGTGATGTGATGCCCTCGTGTCAACCTAACCTAACCACACGTAACAAGGCAATTTGATCATCAGGGAGTTGGGTGACTAATCCCCATGTAATTTGAGGTCATTTCCCTTCTTACAGGTCGGTGTGATTATTATGCATCCAGAGAAACCATTCTACACTTCACATATTGCATGATCGTGCAGAAAGACAGTCCATTGCTACCAGCTATCAACACCAAGTGAGTATTTATTGTTTTTTTGGCACGAATCCTTAACCTGTTCTCTTTATTGTTTGTGTACCTGTAGTTTATATATAATGTTTTTATACCTGTACTGTCTATATACATTACATGCTGTTTCAATATAAACTTGTATTATATTGATTTTACTGTCTCACCCCCCTCCCCATCTTTGTGCTGTTTCAATATAAACTTGTATAATATTGATTTTATTGTCTCACCCCCCTCCCCATCTTTACACACAGGTTAAGTCTGGCAATAGAAGCTGGTCTCTATCAGCACTGGCTAGACATTGCCGTACCTAACTCAACATACTGTCAGCACACTCCGTCTAAATTTACTGTCAAGACTTCACTGTCGTGGCATAATATATGGGTAATGTCTTTTTTTTAAGGTAATTTTGTATTTTTAAGGTAATTTTGTATTTAAGGTTATTTGTATTTTAAGGTAATTTTGTATTTTTAGGTAATGTATTTAAGGTAATTTTGTATTTAAGAATTTTTGTATTTTTAATGTAATTTTGTATTAAGGTAATTTGTATTTAAGTAATTTGTATTTTTAGGGTAATTTGTATTTTAGTATTTTGTATTTTAAGGTAATTTTGTATTTAGGTAATTTTGTATTTTAGGTAATTTGTATTTTAGGTAATTTTTGTATTTTAGCTAATTTGTATTTGGTTATAATTTTATTTTTGGTAATTTGTATTTAAGAATTTTGTATTTAAGAATTTTGTATTTTTAAGTAATTTGTATTTTAGGTAATGTACTTAGGTAATGTATTTAAGGTAATTTTGTATTTTTTAGGTAATGTACTTAAGGTAATGTATTTAAGGTAATTTTGTATTTTTTAGGTAATGTATTTAAGATAATTTTGTATTTTTAAGGTAATTTTGTATTTGTTTTTATATGTAGGTATTTGTAAGGGATCTTGATTTGATTCTTGTTGTAGAGGGTCAATATCTGATCTTGATTTGACTATTGATAATTTAGGTATCTTAAATTAAGGTAGGTTAGGTTATGTTAGGTTCAGGTTAGGTTATGTTAGTATTATGTTATGTTAGCATTAGGTTAGGTTAGGTTAGGTTAGGTTAGGTTAAGTTAGTATTATGTTATGTTAGCATTAGGTTACGTTAGGTTTAGTATTAAGTTAGGTTGTTAGGTCAGCATTAGGTTGATAGGTTGATAAATCTTCAGGTGAAATAAACTAGGGTGTCTAATCATCAGGTAAATAAACTAGGGTGTCTAAACCTCAGGTAAAATAAACTAGGGTGTCTAAACTTCAGGCGATCCATAGTCAAGTCACCAAGTGGAGTAAATAATGGTGAAATAATCCATCTTTCAGGGCATCTTCACCATTCTGGCTTTTGGGTTGACCTGTTCACTGGTTCTGCTTGGTGCTGAGGTCATCTGGGTAATGAATTTGAACTATTGGGTATTGACCTGGGTATGAATTTGACCTAGTGAGTATTGACCTGGGTATGAATTTGACCTAGTGAGTTTTGACCTGGGTATGAATTTGACCTAGTGAGTATTGACCTGGGTATGAATTTGACCTAGTGAGTATTGACCTGGGTAATGAATTTGACCTAGTGAGTATTGACCTGGGTATGAATTTGACCTATTGGGTATTGACCTGGGTATGAATTTGACCTAGTGAGTATTGACCTGGGTATGAATTTGACCTAGTGAGTATTGACCTGGGTACGAATTTGACCTAGTATGGGTATTGACCTGGGTATGAATTTGACCTAGTGAGATTGACCTGGGTATGAATTTGACCTATTGGTATTGACCTGGGTATGAATTTGACCTAGTGAGTATTGACCTGGGTATGAATTTGACCTAACCTAATGTATTGGTGATCACAAGTGTAGAGTTACTATTACATTTATACATCTGTCAAGTCAGATGTCTGTATAATCAATGTGTGTCTGTATAATTATAATCTGTCTATAATTGTAAATCTGTCTGAATAATGGTAATCTGTCCATATTATTGAGGGTAGGAGAGCCAGGGGATAATGGTAGAGATATTAATGGGTGAAGGTGATGGTAGGAGAGCCAGGGGATAATGGTAGAGACATTAATGGGTGAAGGTGATGGTAGGAGAGCCAGATAATGGTAGAGACATTAATAGGTAAAGGTGATGGTAGGAGCCAGGATAATGGTAGAGATATTAATGGTATAGGTGATGGTAGGAGAGCCAGATAATGGTAGGGATATTAATGGGTAAAGGTGATGGTAGGAGAGCCAGGGATAATGGTAGAGATATTAATGGGTAAAGGTGATGGTAGGAGAGCCAGGGATAATGGTAGAGATAATAATGGGTAAAGGTGATGGTAGAGAGCCAGATAATGGTAGAGATATTAATGGGAAAGGTGATGGTAGGAGAGCAAGGATAATGGTAGAGATAATAATGGGTAAAGGTGATGGTAGGAGAGCCAAGGATAATGGTAGAGATATTAATGGGTAAAGGTGATGGTGAGAGCCAGATAATGGTAGAGATATTAATGGGTAATGGGTAGGAGAGCCAGGGATAATGGTAGAGATATTAATGGGTAAAGGTGATGGTAGGAGAGCCAGATAATGGTAGAGATATTAATGGGTAAAGGTGATAGGAGAGCCAGGGGATAATGGTAGAGATAATAAGGGTAAAGGTGATGGTAGGAGAGCCAAGGGATAATGGTAGAGATATTAATGGGAAGGTGATGGTAGGAGAGCCAGGGGATAATGGTAGAGATATTAATGGGTAAAGGTGATGGTAGGAGAGCCAGGGGATAATGGTAGAGATATTAATGGGTAAAGGTGATGGTAGGAGAGCCAGGGGATAATGGTAGAGATATTAATGGATAATGGTGAGGGTATATTTAACGTAAGAAATAGAGTTTGAGATATAATTATATACAGCAGATGGGAAAAAATAAACTATCTTTTATATTGAAAATACATGAATTTTGTACCAATATAATTTTTATTTGTCAAAACCCGGACATAAAAAAATATCTAAAATAAAATTACGATTATTAAGTGAAAACAAAAATTAAATTACTGTATAAGAGAAATAATGACATTTTTAAATAAATGATAATTACCTGAAGATTAAACCAACAGATTATTTTACTTGATTATTAAACCTCCTAATGCTTCCTGGTGGGTTAGGTTAGCCAAAGTTATGTCAGAGTAGGTTAAATTCAGGGCCAGATTCAGGAGTGGGCAAAGGTGAGAGCAGCTGCCCAGGGGCCTCCACAATCTGGGGCCTCCACATATTACAATATTTTATTTATTTGTTTATTCATTTGGATTATTTTTATTTTCATTCTTTAAAATTCATGTTTATCTATTCCATCACGTAAACTATGTTCAGCAAGAAGCGTGATAGAAATTAGACTAGTTACTCCTTGAAATTCATGAATACCTGGTTTTCCTATGAACCGTATATTTTTAATAGAACAGCATATGGCTTCAAAATTCTCCAAAGAAGTGTTCAAATTTCAGAATTTTCCCGGGGACTTACAGGGCCCCGGGACTCCCAGGTGTTTAGGATCACTTCACTCGCCACCCCACCCTCTTGACTTCCCACGGGCCTCCACAGGTCTAAATCCGGCACTGGTTAAATTTGCGTTAAATTATGTTACGTTACTTTTGTTGTGGGGTTGTTAGGTCTTGTGGTTTGGTTAGGTTAGATTAATGTTAAGGTGTTTAATCATATGAAACTATTCTGGGGTGTCTAATCTTCAGGTGATCCCAATACTATATTTTTAATACAATATATTTATCACAATGAATCAAGATACAACTAATTACAACAAAAAAATCTTTATATATGAGGTAGAATTTTTTTTATCTTTTATACAGAAAAAAAATGAAATTAATATAAAAAACATTAATATTTTTATATATCGAAAACCCGCAAGTGAATACCTGTACCGTGATTTTTTTTATTACAAATACAATATATTGACAACATATAAACTCGATATTGGGATAAAATTGGACAAGAATTTTTGACAAGACACAAAATATAAATTTACAATATTTTAACATAAGAAAATATGATAACAATGGAACTGTATTTTAAAATAACCAAAATATCACTTTACAATAGGTGATTTTTGTAAGGCGTTTTAAAATGCCCGGAATAGTTAACTCATTAGCTTTCCCGAACTGTCAATAATAGTCTTAAGAAAACGATAAAATTAAGAGAACTGTACATAAAGGATACCATGAGAGCTTTATACTTCATTACCAGATTATACTGTAAGAATCAGAGGAGCTATTGTGTAATATCTTTCCTCCATTACTTACAAGGCTTGATACATTTGTTGTACAGGACAGGTGCTCCACAGGTGTTCGCATATACCTGTATAAACATGCAATAAGATGAATTTCAGGTTCGTTTAAGTTTTAATTTTTGCCTCACAGAACTGTAATAAACTTGTTCACTCTTATTTAAAGTATCCTATGAGTAATTTACTTTGACTTTTATCCTCTTTGCCGCTGATCGGTTCGTTATCTACTTGGGCGTCGGTCACGTCTCTGTTACACACTGTTGACAAGTACTGGGCATGTACTGGCTCTGTTACACACTGTTGACAAGTACTGGGCATGTACTGGCTCTGTTACACACTGTTGGCAAGAGCTGGCTCTCTGTTACACACTGTTGACAAGTACTGGGCATGTACTGGCCTGTTACACACTGTTGGCATCGGCCTCTGTTACACTGTTGACAAGTACTGGGCGTACGGCCTCTGTTACACACTGTTGACAAGTATCATGTACTGGCTCTGTTACACTACAGGCAAGCTCCTTGTTACACTGTTGACAAGTACTGGGCATGTACTGGCCTCTGTTACACACTGTTGGCAAGTACTGGGCATGTACTGGCCTCTGTTACACACTGTTGACAAGTACTGGGCTCTGTTACACACTGTGACAAGTACTGGGCATGTACTGGCTCTGTTACACACTGTTGGCATGGCTTGTTCACTGTTGACAAGTATCGTGTA